TAGACACGCCCCTTATTGCTGATTGGCTACAAGTTTGTTTTGCGATTCGGCCCGAATCAGTTTTTAAAGCATTTTTGAAAAATCCCTCACTCTGCCTTTAAGTCAAACACACCTGATTCAACTCATTAAAAGAAACTCCAGGACCTGAAATGGGTGTCAGATAAGGGAGACATACAAAATGTGCAGTGTTGGGGGGCGCTCAGGACCAGGGTTGAGAAACACTGGTCTAGGAGAACAGTGAAATTTTGAATCCTATCCCATATAATAATAATAATAATAATAATAATTTGTATTTATTATTATTATTATTATTATTATTTCCTTCCTTCCAGTGGACTTTTATACAGTAATTATTATTATTATTATGCAAATTTCAGTTTAAATTTTTCATGTTTAATTGAAATAGTCTGAGTCTAGGAGAAACGACTGATATATAAAAGAGAATTTAAATATAAAAGAATTTGTCATCAGATTTGACAAATAAAGCCTGAATTTTTCTGCATTATCTATACATTTTCTACACATTTATCTATGTTTGATTACAAGATGCTGATTTTGGCTCTTGGCAGAGTCACTTTTTTAGCTGTACTGTATTGTACCTTTGATCTCTTCCTTTCAGGTACACAGCGAGCCAACGCACGGGCACCTGCACCGTACAAACGGGACTTTGAAGCCAAACTTCGGAATTTCTATCGCAAACTGGAGACTAAAGGCTACGGACAGGGCCCAGGCAAAGTGAAGTAAGTATCTGCACAGGTACTCTGAGGTCTTGTTTTATAGCACATGGTCAAACTCATGCTGACTTGTTGTGCTTGTTTTAGGTTGATAATCCGCAGAGATCATCTACTGGAGGATGCATTCAATCAGATCATGTGCTACTCTCGCAAAGATCTACAGAGAAGTAAACTCTATGTCAGCTTTGTTGGAGAAGAAGGGTCAGTGTTTCCACAATGTTAAAACATAACCAGACTTTACACTATATAACAGTTATAAAAATAAACTTAATAATTAAAGATAAATTGATCATATTGTGTAATTATCTTCATTTAAATAATTATTAATTATAATTTTTAAATTTTTAAAAATGTATTTTTCTGAATTTATTTATTTTTCTTTGATTCTAAACACATTCATTTATTTTTGGTCCCGTTCAGACTGGACTACAGTGGCCCCTCACGAGAGTTTTTCTTTCTGGTGTCACGAGAGCTTTTTAACCCGTACTATGGTCTGTTTGAGTATTCTGCAAATGACACTTACACCGTCCAGATCAGCCCCATGTCTGCCTTCGTTGACAACCATCATGAGTGGTGAGTGCACATTTCCTTTTAAGTCTGTGCTTATAGTTTTATGCCGCATATGAAGCTTGATTTAATTTGTTCAATGCACATGCCTATAAAATCTTTTAATAGACCAAACTAGCGTAAATGTATCCCATGTTTTTTTCAACATGTTCTGTTGTCAGGTTTCGGTTTAGTGGCCGTATTCTGGGTCTCGCTCTTATCCATCAATACCTACTGGATGCCTTCTTCACACGACCTTTCTACAAAGGCCTACTTCGAATGTAAGTTAAGCATTTCTGCCCCTTTTTTTGTAGATTTTTTAGAAGTAGACAGTTATTAAAATTCAAAAAATAATTTTAAAATTTGAGCTAAAAAAAAAAAGTTATATAAAGTTATATAAATAAAGTTTAAAGTTATATATATATATATATATATACACACACACACAAATATATGTTTATTCCATTTAACAAAACAAAACAATAAAATCAAATTTCTATAACTAACCTTTAGCATTAGGGTTGGGCCGATAGACCATGCCATCATCCATCGTCGATGAAAATGAATATATGAAAATGAGAATGTTACGTTTTTAATGATGTAATTGTTTTCAATGTTTTGGCACTTGGCCATCTAGTGAACTGATATCTTCCCCTTCTCCCGATGTCATCGTCCATCGCGATGTTTCACTGTAGACATTGTCTGATGCCAATTTGGTAGACATTGCCCAACCCTATTTAGAATCAATTGTTCTGTTCAGGTGTCAAGATCTTGTGCCGTAAAACTACTTTTCAAAGTATATATTGTATATTTTTAACAATTAAAAATAATTAATAAAACATGAATAATAATATAGTTAATAATAAAAATAATGATAAAAATAATATATTATATGTTATTATCCACCTTATTCCTGAGTAACCGATGAGCGCCGCCATGATGGATTCTAACTTCCGTTTGGGTGCTCTCGTGTTCTGGTCTCCATAGAAATCCATGTTAAAACAGGGTAAAAAGATTGACTGAATTAATTAAACTGAAACTTTTTCAGTTTAACTAAATATAAAAATGTGCACAGGGTTAAGCTGTGCTGTTGTTGGCTGCCACAGTAACAGCAATAAGCTTAAAGGGATAGTTCACCCAAAAATGAAAAATCTGTCATTAATTACTCTCCCTCATGTCGTTTCAAACCCGTAAGACCAACGTATGCTGTTCTGTGTCAGCTGCGTCACGCCTGATCTGTTTCCTACGTTGTTGTGATTTGATCTGACGGAAACAGCGTATCCGTGTGACACAGCTGACACAGAACAGCATACGCTGTTTACGTCCAGCTGATACTCTCCAAAATGGCGCTACAGGGTGATGTGGAGGAGACGGATTGTTAAATAAAGTCGTTATTTTTTTAACAATCGTAAAAAAAGCGTATAAAAACTTTGTAAAAGTACGGTTGAACCCCTGATGTCACATGGATTATTTTACCGATCTCCTTGCTACGTTTCTGGACTTGGGAACATTTCAGTTGCGTTGCTGTCTATGCAGGGTCAGACAGCTCTCAGATTCCATCAAAAATATCTTAATTTGTGTTCCGAAGATGAACGAAGGTCTTACGGGTTTGAAACGAAATGAGGGTGAGTAATTAATGACAGAATTTTCATTTTTGGGTGAACTATCCCTTTAAGGAATTCCTGTATAGCACTTGTTTTGCGTGCCAGCAAATCTGTCCGTGTCTGGCATTGTATGCATAAACGATGACTAAAGAAAGCGAGCATGGCTTGCAGCGCTTAAGTTAAAATACTGTGTGAAATAATAAAGAAAATGTTAAAAGAATGAATCTCTAAAAAATTAACAATTTAACCAATACTAACGTGAACTTGACATGTGTGGGTGCTTAAAATAGACTTTACACTTTCTGTGTGATTAGCCAAATCATGACCATTATTTCATGTTTGTATGTGTGTAACCTGTGTGTGTAGTCTGTGTGATCTGAGTGATCTGGAGTATCTTGATGAGGAGTTTCATCAGAGTCTTCAGTGGATGAAGGACAATGACATAGAGGACATGCTGGACCTGACCTTCACGGTCAATGAGGAAGTGTTCGGACAGGTCAGTGTGTGACTGTTTGTGTACACAAACAGTGTGTAAGCTTGCACAGCCTCTCGCCATTGTCTCACAGAAGCGCGTGTGTGTATGTTAGATCACAGAGCGCGAACTGAAGCCTGGCGGGGCAAATATCCCAGTGTCAGAGAAGAATAAGAAAGAGTACATCGAGCGCATGGTGAAGTGGCGTATAGAGCGGGGTGTCGTCCAACAGACGGAGAGTCTTGTGCGAGGCTTTTATGAGGTACTGAAATCAAATCAACACTCCAGAAGCTTTCAGTCACATAAAAACATGCCACTTTTGCCATGTAGTGTTGCCATGAGATATTTCAGAAGGTTTTTTATTGAATTTCTGTTTAATAGATTTGGGACAATGTACAATTTTGGTTTTAAATGTTTTTGTTGGCTTTAATATAACAAGAAGTCTTGCTTGTCATTTAAAAGCTTGGGGTCATTAAGATTTTTTTTTAAAGAAATTATTATTTTGATTCAGCAAGGATGCATTGAATTGATCAAAAGTGACAGTAAAGACATTACTGATGTTACTGAAGTCGTCTATTTTAAATACAGTGGGTATAGAAAAGAATATCAAACCCCCCCCGCCTTTAAAATAATCACATTTTGTTGCTTTGAAATGAAGACGGACACAGTTTTTGTTTTATACAGCTGTATTTACTCAGTGCAACTTATAACAGAGTGAAAGATATAACACCAACATGTCAGAAAAAAAAACAAAACAAAAAAAAAAACAGAATCACTGAGTTGGAAAAAGGATCATCCCCTTGTGTCAGTGTTTTGTTGAACCAAATTTTGCTTTAATTACAACTTGTTTTTACCATATTTTTATCAAATAAATGCAGCTTTGGTAAGTGTAAAAGACTTCCTTCAAAAACATGAAAAAAGTGTATTGACCTCAAACTTTAGTTATAAAAAAGAATCCTATAAAATTAAAATATGTGACTCATGTCACTCTTTCTTTTAATTCATATTAACTCATGTCACTTTCTTTAACAAAACTGGCAATATGTTAAGAGTTACATGTATTAAATATTGTTAGTTAATATAATTGAATAATATAATTAAATACTATTACATTTAAATGCTTAAAATATCATTTATTAATATAAGTAGTGTTACAACAACATAAAATCTGGAAAGCATTTACAAAATATTTCTTGATGCTGAAGGTTATAGTCATAACCACATAATATCCCCACATTATAATATAATATTAAAAACCCCATGACTTTTAAAGGGTCAATTTTTAAATGTTGTTGTGTGTTGTTAATCAAATTATGTTAGCTTTGCATCAAAATATCTTCAGTAACCCTGGTCATTATATGATTATAATACCTGCTTCAAAAAAAAAAAAATCCAACTTAAAGGAACAGGAACAGTCTCTTTTTTCACTCTCATGCACATTATTTTTTTGTTGTTGTTGAGTGGAACGAAGTAATTTTGAAAGATTTTTCTCTCTTCTAAATGTCAGCAGTGCTTCTGTTACTGTTTTTATTATCTTTAATTAGCATCACTGACAAAAGATCAAGTCAGCCAATGAGGAATTAAATGTATTTTTAAAATCCTAAATTATTTAGTCTAACCTTGAATGAAATGAGAAAGAAGATGAATTAATTAATACAACACGGAAGGTTTAATGTATGATTGATGAGTTTCATTTCTGAATTGTCTTAAGGTACAGCAATGATCCATTTACTGTAGTCTTACCCAACAGGAATACAGGTTACCAGTCTAATAAAACCAAGAATTTCACATCATATTTCATAGTGCTGGCACTGAGCTGGAAGCTGATGTTTTATGGCTGTGAACTGACTGCAGGTTGTAGATGCGCGGCTGGTGTCGGTGTTTGATGCACGGGAGCTGGAGCTGGTGATCGCTGGAACAGCGGAGATTGATCTGGGAGACTGGAGGAACAACACCGAGTACAGAGGAGGTAACAACAGACTGACAGCTTCACTACAGCAGTAATAATGGAATAAATGATTACCATATTTATGATATTTCCATCATGGTGTACAAAACTGTGGTAAAACCATGGTATCAAGATGTGAAGTAAATGATTTATGGCTGAAATATTATCCAGCAGATAGACTGTGGGCTTTTACACCGTCTGCTAGCCGTACAGGTCAAATTTGGAGTTTATTGGAACAAGTTTATTGGTTTTCCCTCCAGGTTACCATGACAACCACATCGTGATTCGCTGGTTCTGGGCAGCAGTGGAGCGATTCAACAATGAGCAGAGACTCAGGTTGCTCCAAGTGAGTGATGAAAGAGAAACACAAGCTCTTTTTATAAGCCAGAGTATAGTCTGTACACTTGACCTGTGGCTGAAATGTCTCTGTTGTCTCAGTTTGTGACGGGGACGTCCAGTATCCCATACGAGGGCTTCGCCTCTCTAAGGGGCAGCAATGGGCCACGACGCTTCTGTGTAGAGAAATGGGGAAAAATTACGTCTCTGCCCAGGTAATCTGCCTCTCAACTCAAGATCCTTTTTATAAAAGTTTTAAATACATGTCAGAGCCCTTTATGATCCCATGAAATTATAACTAGTCTATGTCTGTCAGAATTCATTTATATTTAACCTCCACATTTATTTCAATCATCATGTAATGCATTTCATTATGTATCATGCCAACTACAAAAAATTAAGTAGCATTTTACTAAAACATATTTAGAGGAATCTTTGTAAAAATATATAATAATGTACATATACATAATATACATTTAAATTAATATATACAGATTGGGGTCTGTAAGTTATTTTTTAATGTCTTTGAAAAATGTCTCTTCTGCTCTCCAAGACTGCATTCATTTGATCAAAAATACAGTAGAACATTTTTTTTTTGTAAAAAAAAGAAATTTTATTACAATTTTTAATTATTTTCTATTTTAAAATATTATAAAATGTCATTTATTCCTGTGATGCAAAGCTGAGTTTTCAGCTCCAGTCTTCAGTGTTGCATGATCCTTGAAAAATCATTCTAATATGCTGATTTGCTGCTCAAGAAACATTTCTTATTATTATTTCTAATTATTATCAATGTTGAAAACAGTTGTGCAGCTTAATATTTTTTGTGGAAACCGATGAATAGCAAGTTCAAAACAAATTTTTACTTGAAATAAAAATCTTTTGTAACATTATGAATGACTTTACTGTCACTTTTAAACAGTTTAATGCGTAAAAGCCTGATGTATCCAGTGTTATATAAAAACGGCACAAATTTCAGTCTCACTTTATATTAAGTGGCCCTAATACCTGTGTACTTACATAGTAACTAGATGTGTACGTAGTATGTAACGTGTGGTTGGTGTCCAGAATGTTACAGTTTATATTAAGTGGACAGTTCCTGAGGAGTTACCATGTAAGTACACTGGTATTACAGTGGTGCACCAACTCCACCAACTTGAGATCCAACTCCTCCCACTTTACATATCCCTAAACCTACCCATCTCCACCTCCTGGATCAAATTGTTCCAATTACTCTTATGCATATTGTTGTTACATAATGTAGTTATATATGTCCTGTTACACATTTGTACTTACACAAACCATTCGGAGGGTTGTTACATGTGTGTAGGTACAGAAATATTACAGCTCTAGATACTATGTACCAATGTGTACTTACACTGTGGTTACATACTACGTACACATCTAGTTACTATGTAAGTACACAGGTATTAGGGCCACTTAATATAAAGTGGGACCCAAAATAGTAATAATTTGTAACAATCTACACTACTGTTCAAAAGTTTGGGGTCAGTAATTTTTTTTTTTTTAAAGAAATGAATGCTTTTATTCAGCAAGGATGTGATGCTGAAAATTCAGCGTTGACTTGCAGAAATAAATTATATTTTAATATATAGTCAAATAGAAAACTGTTATTTTAAATTGTAATAATGTTTCACAATATTACTGTTTTTGCTGTATTTTTAATGAAATAAAAATGAAAATAAATCTCTGTTGTTTATCCTTTTGATGTTAAAAAAAAACACATACACATTATGAAATATCATTATGACATTATGAATCACATTATGAAATAAATGTGTTTTTGTCTAATACACATTGGCCACAATTTTCCATAGAGTATTAATTTATAATGACTCTCTGTTTAATGGCCCCCTCTTCTGGTCATTATTGGGTACTGAAGTCTGAAAGATCACAATCGCCTTGTAATCCAACCATCAATCAATTGTTTTAAAAGTTATGTAACAAATACATTGTGCTCAATTAATACGTATTTTTTTTTTGCTTTTATGAGCATTCACTGCCTCAGTCAAGAAGGTCATCAGCTTTTGCTTTTTCTTAACAGTGGAAAATCATAGATTTGTCCAAACTTTTGACTGGTTGTTTATATAATGAGTATAATCATTCTGCCTTGTTTCATGTTCTGTGGAAGGTTTATATGCCCTACTCTTTGACTATGACTACAAACTCACATTGTAAATGATTTTAACTCATGCACTGTACATGTTAGGCACTTGTTTCAGCAGCAGCAGCCTCAGTAAGCGAGATGGAGGGCTTGGAATCAGGGAAAAAGAATGATAAATTGTATGAAGCTTCGGCTCATTCGCCTCAATTTATTTCATTTAGACAGATTTACCATAGCATGCTGCTGTACTAACATCTAAATCAATATCTATCATCTCACAAACTAGGAGGTTTTTCTCACAGGAGGACTGCAGCAGCTGTAGGGTGACAAATGCTTTGCATCTTGTATATCTCAACTCAGCTATTTTTCCAATGATCATCAATCTTGCAGGTTTACTTGTCACTGGTACTATAGTAAAGTATCATCAGACAATAAAAGAGTAGAATTTACATGGTAGTAGTGATTACCGAGGTAGTGGTGAATGGTACCTATCCAAAAAACATAGTACTTTTTTTTTCTTCTTCTTAGTGCAATGCTGCAGCGGCAAGGTCATGGGTTAGATTCTCAAGGAATGCATGGACTAATTAAATGTGTAGCTTGAATGCATTGTAAGCCGCTTTGAATAAAAGCATCTGTCAAATGCATTAATGTCATTTAAAATAAATATCTCTTAAGGTTATTTCAGAGAAAACTGATTCTCGGTCGATTTTGACTTATCTCTGAATTTGAAAGTGTCCAACACATACATTTGTTTTCCTCTGAAGAGCACATGAAAAACTCAAGATAAGACAGGTATCTTTGACAATTCAGATAGCAGGTTGATAACATGTATAACAAGATGCGTTTGATTATTATCACATAATCCTCAGAAGATATCCTGATATCTTCAAGTGCCTTCAAGTGTTTACTTTTAAATCCATAAAAAGACACTTTCAGCAGTCAAGGAGTATGATAGCTGCACTAATGTATACAGATACATTATATATATATATATATATATATATATATATATATTGTGGGAGTAAAAAAGCTCATAGTGCCTCTGAAAGATTCCCTGCGAATCATTTATGCATCTTCCCCTGGGTGGAGCAAACAAGAAGCCTAAATAATCAACAAAATCAAGACTGATATTCAATATTGAGGAGGATTTTAAAAAATGGTTATTGGAAAACTCAAATTGGGACCCACTTTATATTAAGATGTACTTACATTTAAATTAATAATTTGATACGATGCTCTTATTATCTTAATTCCAGTAGTTACATCTATAATTACACTGCTGACCCTACTCCTATCTCGTAACCCACCATTAAACCTAACCATAGCACCAAATCTGTCCCTAATCTTACCCATATCCCACCTTAATGACAGGTCAAAGCAATTTGCAATACAACATGAACAGAATAAATACTTTGTACCAAACGATTCATTATTTTGAATGCAAGTGCACTAAAGACAGACACCTAATATAAAGTGGGACCTCAAAGGGACCAACTACAGATCAAAATGCTGTCTCTTTTTAAATGTCTGTGGTGGTTAAAGTCAAACTAGATCT